AAGGTAAGGCACCGCGTCTCACCAGGCCTGGGGGCCTGTAAGACACCATTGTCTTCTCCGGGCGGCACTCGTAGCTGCCACGCTGTGACAATCAGGCATTTACGAGACCTGAAAGGAGCAAGCCAGCCGCGTGGAAGGAGTCTTGACTCACATAGACCAGCAAGGTGGGCGAGCAGGCAAAGGGTCGCACCACTGAGAGGCTGGGGTGGGAGGGGGCTGGAAAGCAGGGCCTCTTGCTCGGGCCACGTGGGCCACGTCCCACAGAGAACACGAAGGAGCCCGAGGCCGTGGCTGAGAGCCCGGCAGGTAGGTTTCGTGTGTAAGCACGCGGCGGGCTGAGTGGGAGTCAGCCCTCAGCTGGGCTTAGGAGCAGGTGCAGCGCACAGGGGCCGGACAGACGACGGAGGTGGGGATCCTGTCGCTCAGGAGCCCTCGGCTCAGGCGGTGCGGCCCTCGTGCTGTCTCCCAGGAGGGCTTGCAAGCAGATGGTGTGATGGAGAGGGCGCCAAGAAGGCCATCCAGGTGACCGAAGGCCCAGTGCGTCTGTCCCTGTTGGCAGAGCCTGGCTCAGGCCAGCAAGGGCCGCAAATGGGGAGGGCGATGCACTGCTGGGCACTGCCTGCTGGCCGCTGAGAGGGCAGGAGACGGGGAGGGCGATGCTATGGTGGGCACTGCCTGCTGGCCACTGAGAGAGGCAGGAACGCGGACGTCATGCTGCAGCACGAGGGACTGAGGGTAGACAGCGGAAGAGCTGCCTGTGGCCACAGGCAGGATACCGAAACATTGATTAAATGGAAATTGGATGTGTTTTCTGGCCGAACATGGAGAAACCGAACCAGTTAATTTAGTTTCAACCTTTTTAAGTTTCCATAGAGTGTGATGGGCAAGATACCTCTTTGCAAATTCTTGCTTTTTGAGGAGACTTCTAGGACCTCATTTGGCCTACATTTATCCCAGTGGCCACTCTCCCCTCAATGGCTACCTTCCCACAGAGGAATATATTTTGAAATGAAGGTAAACCTCCTATAACGTAAAATTCACCATTTTAACGATTTGAAAGCACACATTTCCAGGGCTTTCAGCACATTTACAGTGTGCTGCAGCTACCGGCACCGTCTAGCTCCGGAACATACTCATCACCCAGAAGGGAACCTGCACCCTGAGGCAGGCACCACCCATTTCACCTCCCGCCCCGACACCTACTAGTAATATGCTTTCTGTCTCCATGGATTTGCCATGGGAATGTATTTCTTTAGGAATCTTTTACATTATGCACTTAATTCCCCAATTAGAAACCGTAGACTACTGATACTTCTGTGTGTGTGTGTGTGTGTGTGTGTGTGTGTGTGTGTGTGTTTGAGAAAGAGAGGAGAGAGGGCAGGAAAGAAGTCAGAGTCAGCATTCATGAGAAATCTATTTGAAATATCCAAAGTGGAAACGGGGGGAAATGCTTATTTTTCAAGTAGAGGCCTGCAATTTGAACTAGGTGTCAACTTAAATTTCTCAAGGGCCCAGTCGGTCATAGGTTATAGAAATGTCAGCCCGTTCTTGAAATATGCCTGTAACACTGAGAAAGGCTTGTGAATGGCAACATGGCTTTATAGATCCCAAATCACGCCCTAAAGTTTCACATTTTCACATCCGCCAGCAGCCCCGGCCGGGACCAGCTCTTCCTGGAATCGGTGATGCCAGCCCCGTTGCTTTTACTTGGAGCGGCGTCCTGGTGGCCATGCCCGTCTGCCTTTGTCCCAGCGAGCACGTCCGCTAATGCAGAGGAAGCTCAGGATGCCCTGACCGGTAAGTGAAAAAGCAACTTGAAATAAAATAATACAACCCCTTTATTGGCCAAGCGTAATTACTTACCAATTTCAAATTAGAACATACAGTTATTCTGGTTGGACTTTTTACACAGTTAGCTAACCTCATCACAAACTTAAAAACCTTGGAAACGAATTGGGAAATGGTGTTTAGGGTGCCTATTCTTTGTAAAATGGTTTAAAAATTGTACGGCCTTCTTGGTCATGATTGCATGACAAGGAAGGTGTGTTTTCTGACTTCTGGGAAAATACCTAAAGAAAGAAATCTGGATTTCCAACCCGTCAAATGACTCCTAGGAGGAGTAGCCAGAAGGGTTTGTGGTTTAAGCGGTGCTTTGTGATCGCGAATGTCAAGGCCAGGAGATGACAGTCACTTTGCATTTGCACATATTTTGAGGGTTTTTATTACATTTCACTTTTCATTCCTTTATATTTCATGCGCCCCAGCTACTCTATCTGGACTGTTCCCAGGAATACTCAGGGTCCCCTGCCAAGGCTCACACGCCTCGCTGGTTTGGATGCTGTGGATCTTGCTCGTTTTCTTCCCAAAGTCCCTGTGTCTTTCCGACCGGCGTCACCGTGGTCCCTGTCTGATCTCTTCTCCATCCTCTTAGTGTTGGCTTCTGGGGTCTCCTCCCTGACAGTGAAAAACAATCTCTGTATCATGTTATGAGGTATACACTGACTAGGCTGCTACTCCCACAGACACTTCTCAAGCAGTGGTGACCAGAGGCACATTAAAAAATATATTTATTTGTATTGATTTCTGAGAGGGAGAGAGAGAAACATCCGCGATGAGAGAATCATTGATCTGCGGCCTCCTGCAGGCCCCCTACTTGGGGTTGAGCCTGAAACCCCCTGAGATGGAATCCAACCATGACCTGGTTCATAGGTTGATGCCCAACCATTGAGCTACACCGGCCTGGCCAGAAATAAATAAAATAAAAATATTTTTTCCCCTTTACTGATTTTTAGAGAGGGAGAGAGATAGAGAGAAACATCGTCCATCGGCTGCCTCCTGCACACCCCCCACTGGAGATCAAGCCCACAACCTCAGGCATGTGCCCTGACTGGGAATCGAACCATGACCTCCTGGTTCATAGGTCAACGCTCAACCACTGAGCCACACCAGCTGGGCCAGACATAAACTTTTAAAAAACCAAGGGAACCTCCTTTAAGGCACCTGGGAGTTGGCAGCACAGGGCTCCTCTGTGGCCCCGGAAGCTCAGGAAAGCGCTGGGAGGCCTGTTGGCGAGAGGCCTGTGCAAACACCATTATCCCGGTGCTTTGCTGTGGACCCACCCGTCACAAGATCACCTCCAGGGGGAGGTGCTGGCCTGGAGGGCTCACTCCTGTCTCCCCCCAGGAGCTGCCTCGGTTTACCTCCCAGGCGTGTGGATACCTGGCCCTCTCCTCCCAGCCTCAGAAGACAGCTCCTCACCCCCCTGGGAGTGAAGGCCGTGGGAAGAGGGGAGAGCGGTGCTGGAAGGGAGAAGGCGGTTGACAGCAGTAGCTAAACTGCACCCCTATCTCTGCCCTCCAGACCGCACGCCAACCGAACCCCCTGCGCCCCGCCCGTCGCCACCCGCGGCTCCTGATGGCCGCTCTGATACAGGGCGGTGTGCACGGTCTCCCCGCACACCGGGCGCATTCGGGCCTGGGCCCGCGGGTGGATCCTGCCGCTGTGGCACCTGTCGGACCCCCTGCTGGGATTTGGCGAGTTGGCGAAAAGTAAGGTCACGGCCTGGGAGTCAGAGGGGTCGGGGCAGGCGGGATGAGGGGCGGGGAGGAGGGTGATTCTGGTTGCTCCCGAATCCTTCACCTGCCCCTCGGGAGCGCGGAAAGGCTCTGTCTGGGCCGGGCCGGGCCAGGAATGACCGGGATAGCCGGTATTCCCGGTCCCTCAGTCCCTCACCGGCCGGGGGCAGAGGGAGGGCGGGGGGCGGGGAGGGGCAGGATGGGGAGCAGGATGGGGAAGGAAGGGAGAAGCC